CCTGCCGCCACAGCTTCTTCACGCCGTGCCCGGAGATGCCGAGCTCGTCGCCGATGGCTTCGTCGGTGAGGTCCGTGACGGCCAGCCGCAGCAGCCGGCGCTCGGCGGGCGCAAAGCCGAAACGCGGCGGCGTGAACTGGAAGGCGTCGCGCACCGGCGTGCCGGGCAGCAGCCGCGCAGCTTCCTCGCGGTGCAGACCATAAAGCTCCGGCTGGCCCGCCCGCTGGCGGGCGGTCCGGGCCTTGAAGCCCATGCTGAGCATGTAGCCGCTTTGCTCATCGGTGGCTTCTTGATAGAGGCTTTGCAGCCGGTAGCCGGCGTGGGCGAAGCGAAACAGGGACATCGCCACCGACAGCAGCTCCAGCGTGTCCGGGTGGGCCAGATCGGTCAACACCTGGTCGTAGTGCAGCACGAGGAAGCTGACCTCGCCGCGCGCGTTCAGCCGGGCGAGTTCCTTGTCGGCCGGGGGCAGGAAGCGGCCGTCCGAGAGTTCCTCGTACAGCAGGGCGGGCGCGTGGGCCGGCGGGTCTTCGCGCAGCAACCGCGCCCAGCGCGCATCCAGCGCGATCGCCACGCCGAGGCCGACGATGCGCTGGCCTGGCGGGCGGTTCAGATCCTCGATCACATCGGCGTTGAAGCCCGGATGGCCCAGCAGCCGGGTCCAGATGGCCGGCAGCGCGGCGCGCACCGCAGGCGGCAGCGGCAGCCAGGTGGGAACCAGTCGCTGCGCGGCCTCCAGGTCAGCGTGCCCCAGCAGCCGGCCATGCAGCCTCAAGCCCGTCCCATCCAGCATGCGCGCCCTCCCTTGAAAGCGCGGTCATTCTATGAAGATCGTTAGGCGGCGGCGCTGCCGCTCCGCGAGTCGCCGCTCACCAGGTGGCCGAGTAGCTGATCATCACGCGGCGCGCCTGCGGCTTGAGCATGAGGCGGCTCTGGGACGAGAGCTTGTACGTGAAGGCGCCGCGCAGGCCGGACAGGCCGTCGTTCTTGGGCCGTTCGAAACTCATGCGGGACGCCCAGCCGGTGTCGCGCTGCCATACGGGCGTCTCCACGCCGCCGCTGAAACGGCGGGTGATGTCGTAGCTCACGCCGGCCCACACGGCCTCGCGCACCGCCGCTTGCGGGCCGAGCTGGGCGGGGGAGCGCAGCTGCTGCTCCAGCCCGAGCTGGTACCGCCAGCGGGAGCGCTCGCGCTGCTTGGTGAGCCATTGCGGGTCGCGCCAGTTCAGGTCTGGGTCGGGTGCCGCGGCGGTCGCGAGTGCCGTCGTGGCCGCCTGCCCGGCGAGTGCCGCATTGGCGGCCCCCTGGGTCTGGGCGACGGCGCTGGAGGTC